GCTTGAGCCCAGGAGTTGGAGGTTGCTGTGAGCTGTAATGCCATGGCACTCTACCCAGGGGGATAGCTTGAGGCTCTGTCTCAAAAAAAAAGAAAAAAAATCTAGTCACCCTATGTTACACATAAATCATAGCTCAACAAAGTTGATAAAAAAGAGATGGGCCCCTGGTGACTTTCGGCTTCAGTGCATAACACTGCTTAAACTGTGGCCATGCCTGAGGCCTCGGCCTCTGGTCCCTGCTTCCATATAGCCGCTGCCTTGTCTCCCTGACTCCAAAGTGCTTGTGTTAAGTCCTGGAAATGGTATCTGAGAGATGCCTAGAGAAGTACCCAGGTGCAGCCCAGTGAATTAGGAGGGACTGTCAGCTCCAGGAGGGCAATGACTGGGCCCAGTGACCTTGGGTAACCATGAAGGGCAGTGTTCATTCATTCATTCATTCATCCACTTATTCATTTCTTCAAATAAATACGGTACCTGTTAGGTGTCTCCCCAGTGGCATGCTCCCTTCCAGGCTCTAGAATTCAGCAGGGGGCAGGCAGGAGACAGTAAGTGAACAAACAGATGCTCTAACATACAGTGACCCTCCTTGAGACCTGCATTGGAAAGAACAATAAAAGCAGAGGTTTTGAAGGAACTAGTGCAGACAGCTCCCTGCAGAGTCACTGATGAGCGTCTTTGTCTTGACCTGAACCCGGGTTTTGCAATCGGATGGAGAAATAACCTTGTCAGTAATTCTCCCATTTCAGAGGTTTCCCGAGCAAGGTGACGTGTCTTCTCAGGTACATGGACAGGGATGAGGAATTCTCACATATCTCTGAGTTTGTGTCCACAGGTCACAAGTTGAGTATTGTTTAAAGTGGCCAGTGATAGCTGGAAATTTCTCACCAAGAAATTATCTGCATACCATTGCCTCCCCCTAATTGAAAGAGGATATTTTATAAGGAGGCATCTCTGAACTAGAGGGTACAGTTGGTTTAATCCAAATTGTTTCATCTGCTCACATTTTGGTTTCTTTCTTTTTTGGAAACTTTGTCACCCTCTGTAGAGTACGATGACATCATAGCTCACAGCAACTTCAAACTCTTGATCTTCTTGTCTCAGCCTCCGAGTAGCTGGGACTATAGGTGCCCGTGACAACTCCTGGCTACTTTTAGAGATGGGGTCTCTTGCTCAGGCTGGTCTCAAACTCCTGAGCTCAGGCAGTCCACCCAAAGTGGATTCAGCCTCCCCAAGTGCTGGGATTACAGGCGTGAGCCACGGCCCTCACATTTTAGTCTCATAAATATTCTATTGCCAACAGAACATTCAACCAGAAGCATAAGCCACATGCCAGGTTGATTTATTGCTCTGATTATTTTATATGTTCTCCTGGGCCCCCTGAAAGTGTGTGCACATGGATTTGCTCTCAAAGATCTTCGATCCAATACAATGCCACTAGAAAATGCTCACCTATGTGCGGTCTGCACTGCCTGTGCTAATTAGCAGCCAAAATATTATCTTGAAGCAATCACTCTTCCTGGCGCTATTAACTTTCTTATGATCCAGTGCCCATTTTATTACACAGTATAACAGGCATTAAACATCTTGGGATTTATGCCAATTATAGACAATATGGATATTTATTCTAGTAGTAAAAGCGATGAGAGGGTTTGAAGACTTATTTAGAGTTTTCCTGCAATCTGAAATCCTAAAGCCCTTATACTTCAGATTGAAATATATCTGTCAGCCAGCACTGGAATCTTTGCGGGGAACGTTGTCCCATCCCTTCTGGAAGTATGTCTCTGTGCTGTGCATCTCGGATCACGCAAACAAAAAGCGTTCAGCTGAGAAGAGCTAGCAACATTTTTTTGTTGTTGTTTTAATTTCAGGTTGATATGAGGATACAAATGTTTAGGTTACGTTGTTTTCATTTCTAAGATAAAGTTCAAGTTGTAGTTGGGCCCATCACCCAGGGGCGTGCTGAACACCCTCACATTGTGCACATTAGGTGAGATTCCCCCAATCCTCCTCCCTCCTCCCCCCAATCTCTCTCCCCTCCCCCTCACCAGACTAGACTTGCGTTTCTCTTTCATGTGGGCACATAGTTGTTTATTTATTGGTTTCATATTAGTGTTGAGTACATTGGATACTTTTTTTTCCCTTCATTTTTGTGATACTTTACTAAGAAGAATGTATTTCAGTTCCATCCAGGTAAACACAAAAGATACAAAGTCTCCATCTTTTCTTATGGCTGAATAGTGCTCCATGGTATACACATACCATAGTTGGTTTAATCCATTCATGGGTTGATGGGCCGGGAATATTTTTTTTAATTACAAGTACCTGTTACGGGAAAGTTGCATTTCCCGCCCCCCCCTCCCGCCCCCAGAGAACAGGGAGCGTGGAACAATTTTTTTCATTCAAAGTCTCCAAAGCAGAGGATATGCAAAAGTATAGCCTGGGGAGGGCAGGGGACGTCGCAGCCTGTGTCCCTCCCTCTTCTAGCATACACCACTTCTCCAATGTCTCAGATGCCTCAAGGAAAATGTGAGTGATGCGTGAAATTAGCCATATAAATTGTGAAAGCTTGACACTTCTGTTAATTCTACCCTTGAATCATAATCACGAAAATTTCAGGGACAGCAAGAACAGGACTATGAGCGCCATCTGGTGGCAAGGTGTACCTGTACCCAGCTTACCTGAGCACCCCTCACGCCATCCTAGTTTATACTAAGCCTGTGACCCCATACAGCAATTAACAGGCATTCTTGTATTTCCTCTAAATGACAATCACACTGGTGTTTAAGCGAGTCTAGGCGAAGCTTACAAATGTACCCCAAAATATTACCACCTACCTTCCCCAAGACAAGAAAGAGACACTAACTCTAAAATAGACCGGAGAATAATCATAGCTATGTGTCATTTTACTAACTTACTACAATACTTGCAACAGTCCTGTGAGATCAGGACTAGCAACACCGAATATACAGAATGAAAAAGTGATACAGAATTGGTCTCCTGGCTACATTCACACACCTGTAGCTGGCAGAGAAAGAACTTGAACATGGCAAGGTGGCTTCCAGCTTTCGATGCTGGTTCCTAGAGCCATATGGTACGATGGAAAAAAACTAGAACCAGGTAGCTAAAGATTGGATTTGAATTTCAACTCCACAACTGAGCAGCCGTCCACAACAAGCAACCTCATCTCTTTGAGTCTCAGTTCACTCCCTTGCTACATTGGGGTAATTTCTGGGCACATCTGGCACAGATGCCGTGAGGCTCTGTTGGACAGTGTCTGTGAGTGGCCTTCGTAAGCTCTAGAGTGTTCTATGGGACATAACCTAGTTACTATCATGTGAGGGAACTGATTTCATAACCCACTTCCCTGTCTTAAACTTCACTGTGTATCCAGTCAATGCTGGGTGACCTGGAGTCCTCAGCTGGTCTGTTTATGCCTGAGAGCCCAGGGGGGATAGGAACCTATTCGGGAGTCAGGGACCCGCAGGTGAGCTTCATGTTTTGATCATCTAGGAAGTGGTCACTGCAGAAACAGGCCCTCTCCTGTCCCATCCACTGATAAAAACTTAAAAGCTTGGCTTACCCCGTGCCAAAAATGAATCAGCATCTTTCTGTGCAACTTGGGAGAAGCACCCCTGTGCCTGACCACACTGCCTCCTCCCACAGATCAGTGCCCTGCAGAAAGGCTACAGCGAGGTGCTGTGCCACACCCTGTCGGAGCGGAACTCAGAGATCACATCCTTGAAGAACGAGGGCGAGGGTTTAAAGAGGGACAATGCCATCACCTCAGGTGAGCTCTTTCTGGAGTTGGGCCTGGGAGTTGCCATCCCCTCCCCCACAGCCATGGCCATGGCAGACATCACCAATCAACCACTGCACTTTTAATCTGCACTTGGCTGCAGCTCAGAGTTCTCAGCAGCCCTTTAGGCGGCTATGGTCAATTCAAGTTCATCCTCTAATGAGGTCTATCTGCCATCCAGTTCCTAGCACAAGGCCTGCCTCAAAGTCGGCCCTTTGTAAATATTTGAGCAAATGTTATCTCTTTCTAGAAGGCCTGCTGAGCGCTGCCCTCATCAGGGAGAACAGAGGTCATGTGTAGCTTAGGCAGGTGGCCCAAGGGCCACTTTGCGGTGGATACAAATAGTAGAATGTAGAGAGTGGGGCTGCCACTTTAAGACACCCAGAGACATACTCATTTCCCTCAATGCACTTGGGCCCCAAGTGAACACACTTTGCTAACTGTGTGGTGGTTTAATACTGAAGAACTCGGATGAGGGAGGGGCAGCCAATTCATGGCTCACCCTTACCAGGCACAGCTGTTTCTAGCCTGCATTCATTCATTCATTCATTCACTCACTCACCACAATTATTGAGCACCTACTAGGTCCAAGCACTGTCCTAGGCAGTGGGAGAGAGCCCTGAGAAAACAGCTGAGATCCCTGAATTCACCAGGCTCACATATGGGAGAGGGTGACAGGTAAGAACAAGTAAATAGGTAAATAAAGAAAGCCAGGCAGTGGCAAGGTGGCCAAGTGCCTTGGAGGGCAAAGGGAAGGGAGGATGGCTTAGTGAGTGGGTAAGAACAGACCCTGCAGAGTTAGGAGGGTCGGCAGGAAGCCAGAGGAACCTGGGTGCCAGGCAGAAGGTGAACGTGCAAAGGCCCTGAGGCCACACCTTTCAGTCTCTACCAGATGCCCTGTGGATTACAAGGTTTCTCCTTTCTGGATGGTCCCTCTGCTCCTTGCAAGTGGTTCTTTCCTTACCCACATGTGTGTGCTGGTCAGTCCTGACCCATTATCTTGTGTGATTCTTTTTTTTAGAAAACTATTTAATCCCAGTTTTATTGGTGGGTATCGATCAAGATGGTATATGGAATAAAGAACATGATTCAGAATTTCCTCCTAAAAATGAGTTTTGTCCTGGCACATAGTTAAGTTACTTGGAAACAGGCCAATCCCTTTGGGGTTTGCCTTCAAGAGTGGTATTCATTTATTTATTATTTATTTTTGAGACACAGAGCCTTGTGTTGTCTCCTGGCTTGAGTGCAGTAGTGTCATCATAGCTCATTGCAATCTCAAACTTCTGGGCTCAAGGGATCCTCCTGCCTCAGCCTCCCAGAGTTCTAGGATTACAGGCATGAGCCACATTGCCCTGCCCAGAGCTGCCTTGTCTAAAACTGACTAAGCCCGGACATGGGCTTAGTTCTGACTCAGAGTCCCATGAGGTTGCAGTTCAGATGTCGGCTGGGGCTGCTGTCATGTCACCTAAAGCCTCAAAGAGCTGGAGGATCCCCTTTCTGAATGAGTGACTTATCCGTGTAGCTGTTGGCTAGAGGCCTCAGTTCCTCACCACAAGGGCCTCTCCCTAGGGCTGCTTGAGTGTCCTCACTACATGGTGGTCAACTGTCCCTAGACTGAGTGATCTAAGAACAGAGAAGAAGCTACTCTGCCTGGGAAGTCACAGTCCATCATTTCCACGATTTATTGGTTATACGCATTGGCCCTATTCAGAGCATGAGGCGGCTACACAAGAACGTGAAAAGTAGGAAGCAGGGATGATTGTGGCCATTTTAGAAGCCTGCTGCCAGAAATCATCATAGGTGCCAAACATCGTATGTTGGCCACTCTTCTAGGTTTTTATCCATATTGTCTCATTTAACCCTCGTGATAGCTCCGTAGATACTGTGGGAGGTTAAGTAACTTGTTTGTCAAGTTACTTATTTTATTACAAATTTATTGCTAGTAAATGGAAGAGATGGTTCCAGCCTCAGACAAGTGTCTCCATCCACTCCAACAAGAGCTTCCAGCATGTCCCTTCTGCCACAAGCCCATCTCATGGCCTCCTCTGGCCCCTCTCTCTGCTGGGCCTTTGTTCCCCAAGCCTGTAGTGTTATCTCTCCTCTGAGCTCTGCACCCTGTGCCCACGAGGACCCCCACAGGTGTTTCCCCAGTAGCATTCACTGAGACCTTAAACAAACAATGCTCAACCCCATTCAAGCCTCTGGAGCCCTTGAGACTTGGTCAAGTGCCAGGCTTGTTACGAGAATCGGCTGATGGCGGCAGCGATGACAGTCCCCCTTCTGGCCTCTTTAACCTCTGGAAGTGATTTTTTGTTGACAGGACTGGTGACATCTTTACAAAAAGACATGTTAGCAAAGAATGAGCAAGTCCAACAACTGAAAGAGGAGGTGAATCAGCTGAAAAGTCAGAACTTGGAAAAGGATTACCAGCTGGAAACCCTCGGCTCCACAGTGAGTGTGCGGGGTCTCTGTCTCTTGTCTGTCGGGGGACGGGGGAAAGCAACTCAAGTGAAGTCGCGTGTGATGCTCTTGTTTCCTTTACCTCGGGCCCTTGCTTTAAATTTCCCTCCCTCCTCTCACACCATGGTGGGATGAGGCCAGTGCCACGGGCCTAAGGAGGACAGCTGCTGAGGGGACCCAAACAGGACATGCCCACCGAGAAAGACCGGGACAGGCAGCCAAGTTCTTTGCAGCTTTTCAAAGAGCCATGTGTGTGCAGCTCAGAGTAAGCAAGATGAAGATTCCAATCCAGCAAGCATTTTCCTGACACCTCTTATTCATTAGTTTGTTTAATCCCAGTAACAAAAACACCTCTTAGTATGTGTTTTCATGACAAAGCTTAATATTAAAACAGAATAGAATCTCACTATGTGCGAGAGGGCCACGTTTGGCCTCACCTCTGTCTGGTCACCACTGGTTGGCACAGTTACCCTCAAAGCAGAATGTTTGACGGTCCAGGGGCACTTGTGCGAACTTTGATTTCTTCCCTTAGACGTCCATGTGCACGTGAATTCCCCCATGTGCAATGAACCTGATGGGCAACTTAAGAGCCTTTTAAATGTAATTTTGACTATTTGCAAATCTTGCCTTCAGTGCTCTGATTTTGGAATTCTGATCTTATAGGATAAGATTACACAACATCTGTGTGATTAGTCTGTTTTGATGAGTCAAGGTAAACCCTAACAGCTTCCATCTCAAGGGCGGATGCCCAGATCCCTAGCGGCTACCTGATGGGTCAGCCAGGTCTGCTCAGGTGCCAAGGTCAGGGTAGAGTTTGAGATCCAAGGATATGGCAGCAGAGGTAACCCCTGGCACTGGTTACAATGCCCAGTTTGGAGCTGGAGAAGTGGGATGGAGGCGTCAGGGTCGACAGACCAGGGTCCCAACCCAGCGCTGGGTTTTTTTTTTTTTTTTTTTTTTGAGACAGAGCCTCAAGCTGTCCCCCTGGGTAGAGTGCCATGGCATTACAGCTCACAGCAACCTCCAACTCCTGGGCTCAAGCGAGTCTCCTGCCTCCGCCTCCCAAGTAGCTGGGACCACAGGCGCCCGCCACAACGCCTGGCTATTTTTTGGTTGCAGCCGTCATTGTTGTTTGGCGGGTCCGGGCTGGGGATTTGAACCTGCCACCTTAGGTGTACATGGCTGGCGCCTTAGCCGGTTGAGCTATAGGCGCCGAGCCTCAGCGCTGGGTTTTGTTATAATTTTTTGACCTCCACTTCCCTGTCAGTGAAATGGGGAGAACAGAATCATTTTCTGAGAAGTGAGAGGCTGATTTTAATTGTGTTCTTCTGCCTCTGTGCCTGGTTAGCGGCCTCACCAAGCCCTCTGTGGCCATTTCTCCTGAGTGGATTGACTTCCTGGATTGAATGTATTAACTGCTATGGAATATGTGGGTGTGCATGTGTGTGCATTTATGTGGGGTGTGCATATGTATATGTGCATGTGTGCATGTGTGTATATGTGCATGTGTATGTGTGCGCACACGTGTTGAGGAAGGGGATGGGCAGAGTGGACACCAGATGGCAGAAATATAGGAAAACACCGCCTGTTTGGCTATCCCACTCCCGCAGTGCATTAGGACTATTATTGACGTCATCTCTCCTCCCCTCTTGACCTGGGAACAGAGTCTACCTTCTTCTCCTTTAGCCTGTGCCAGCTGTTAGCATACAGACTCCTCACGACCAAGGCTCCTGCTCACATGAACATTTGAAATGCCCGTCTTTTCTTTTCCAAATTGCATATGTCGTGTGTGTTAAGAATAACACATAGATAATACTGGAAAGCAAAATTAAAGAGAGAAGAGAAATACTACCCCACAAAATAATGTCAATACTTTAGGCTCAGCAGCCATAACTCAGCGGTTAGGGTGCCGGCCACATACACAGAGGCAGGCGGGGTTTGAACCCGGCCCGGGCTTGCTAAACAACAATGATGACTGCAACAACAACAAAAAAAATAGCCGGGCATTGTGGCAGGCGCCTGTAGTCCCAGCTACTTGGGAGGCTGAGGCAAGAGGATCACCTAAGCCCAAGAGTTTGAGTGACTCCACGGCACTCTACCGAGGGTGACATAATGAGACTCTGTCTCAAAAACAAATAAATAAATAATACTTTAGTGCATATTCTCCCAACTTTGTTTTCTATTACCTAGAGAAAATATATATGGCATATGTAACAAATTTAAACTACACATATTTTTTTAAACTTTTTAATTACTATTTCCCCAGATTAATAAATAAAGGTTTGTATCCTTGGTCTTAAAAGCTACATAGTATTATTCCCTAGCACTAACGTCATGCTATAAAGTGATCTCTGGTTGTTGGACACAATTGTTTCCCCTTTTTTTCCACTGTTGCTAATAACCTTGTGAAAAATATCCTTGGACCCATAGATCCACGGATCTGTCCAGCCCTTGCCCTTAGGATTCATTCCTAAAGTGGAATTTCTGGGTCGAAAAGAGCCCCTGCTTGGTGTTCTTGATGCCTGCTGCCGGCCTGCCCTCCAGAACGGCTGCCCTGTTTCTGTTTCCACCGCCAGGGCCGTTAGGTCTCTGAGAAGTCAACTGCATAGAAGACCTCCAGGCTCACTAGTGACCCCTCTGAGGGGTCAGACTCCCCAAAGTTGGGTTTTTCTTGTGGTTTCGACTGCTGGCTTTGGAAGGTGAAGTATAAGGCTCTGTTCCTCCAGTCTTGTGAGAGAGCTGACCTGGGAATGACCGCAGGGGCCCATGTGCCCGTCTTGCCTTTAGGATCTGAGAGTGTGACGGGATTGGACAGCAGGCAGAAGCTGCTCTTGGGCTAAAACGGGGCCTGGAAACCCTCCAGGCAACCCCACGTGGCCATGCCGGCCTCTTTCCTTGCTGTCTTTTCTTCCCCACAGTGCTCAGTGCTGAAGGAAGAACTAAGAAAGGAGGAAGCTCAGAAAGAATACAGGGAAGCCCAAGAGGAGGAGCTGAAAGTCTGCAAAACCGTGAGTGGGACTTCCTCGCCTGCAGGTGCCTCCGGAAAAACTAGGCTTTGACCTTGAGATCCTTGGTCCATCACAAATCATGAGGCTTTGGGGTCTTGTGTTCATTTATGTTTTACTGCAGTCTCAGAATTCATCGGTTTTGGCTCAGTGCCTGTGGCTCAAATGGCTAAGGCACCAGCCATATATACCTAAGGTGGTGGGTTTAAATCCAGCCCAGGGCCGCCAAACAACAATGATGGCTGCAACCAAAAAGAATTCATGGGTTTCCCACCCCTGGCCTCAGGGAAGAGATGGGAGAAAGGATTGGGAACCAGGGGGCTGTGATCCTCTGGACAATTGTCTCCTGTGCCCTCTTGGGTCTCCCTGGGGCTGGGCTGTGCTAGGAGGGGGAGGAGGATGGGAAGCTGGCCGGCTGCCACTGCATGTTGCTGGACACTCCCTCTCTGGTCCCCCACCCCAGACCCATGATTCCCAAGCTGATGTTCCACTGTCAGGAGTGTGTCAAAGCCACAGGTGCTGTTGCTGACACAAACTTCTTCCTTCAGTATTTTTATTTAAACACCACAAAATAAAACACTCATAAGAACAAAACAAAAAAGCAAAGTTATCATTTGCTTTATATAGAAGGTGGTCCTAAAAATAAATGCAATGAAAATATGGCCATTAAATTTAGACCAGATGCAGGGGCTCACACGTATAATACTTTGGGAGGTCAAAGTGGGGAAGATGGCTTGAGGCCAGGAGTTCGGGATCAGCCTGGGAAATACAGCAAGACCCTGTCTCTAAAAAGAAAAAAAATTAGCCAGGCATATGGGTGTATGCCTGGAGCCCCAGCTAGTTGGCAGGCTCAGGCAAGAGGACTGCTTGAGCCCAAGAGTTAGAGGCTATAGTGAGCTGTGATCATGTCACTGTACTCCAGCCTGGCCAACAGAGAGAGACGCTGTCTCTAAAAAATAAAGAAAAAATTAGAAATTAAAAAATAAATGTATAAAATAAATAAATACAATGAAAACATGACCATTAAAATTAAGATGTTTGTTCCACATACCATGCAAATCCTCTTCTTGTGTATCCCCAGGTGTATATTTTCTGTTCTTTGGGAAGCACAGAGGTTTAGACTTGCTCTTCCCTGTGCCAGTGCTGTTCCTCCATGCCAGGGATAGTTCCACTCTCTGCTTCAAATGGAAAAAAAGAAAAATGTCATTGTTCATTTCTTCCAAACTATTTCCTATTGGGTCTTCCAAATAGTTGGCCCTTATTTAGGTTGATCTCAAAAAATATACCCCCAAGTGCCAGGCTCGGTGGCTCACACCTGTAATCCTAGCAATTTGGGAGGCCAAGGCCCGTGAGTCCCTTGAGATCAGGAGTTTGAGACCAGCCTGAGCAAGAGCGTGACCCCAACTCTAAAAGATAGCCAGGTGTTATGATGGGTGCCTAAAGTCCCAGCTACATGGGAGGCTGAGGCAACAGGATCGCTTGAGCCCAGGAGTCTGAGGTGGCTGTGAGTTATGATGCCATGACACTCTGTGGAGGATGATAAAAAGTGAGATTCTGTCTCAAAAAAAAAAAAATACTCCAAGAAAAATGATTGGAATGAATCAATGGATATCATGTAGTGTTTAATCCAGGACCTAGTCTGATTGACAAAAGGAATTTTCTCTATCCGGCATTTTTAATATATCAATTGGAAATAAAACGCTACTTCACCTACATATGTAGAACTTTCCCCCAGGAGAAGGAATTAAACAAGCAAATAACAGGCCAGGTGCAGTGGCTTATGCCTGTTATTCCAGAACTTTGGTAGGCTGAGACAGGAAGAGCGCTTGAGGCCAGGAGTTTGAGACCAGCCTGGGCAATAGAGCAAGACCCTGTCTCTCTCAAAAATAAAGCTAATTACAAAGAACCTATTTTTACTTTGGTCTATGACAGTTGACCAAATAAACCAGCAAACAAGCTAATATCAGACAAGGTTTCCAATTTGATTAATGGGAGGAAGGGATTTTCAGCCAGGATCCAGAACTTTCAGCCCAGAAGGTAGCTCCTATGGCCATCAGGGAAACTGACTCCTCTGTTGTTGAAACTTTTTCAGCAAATCCAAGACATGGAGAAAGAAATAAAAAGGCTTAAGGAGGAGCTGAAGAAGAGTTGTACTGAACAAAGCATGATCTCCAAGACTCTGCGAGAAAAGAGCAAGGTATGCAGGGCAGAGATGCTTTGGTGCAATGACCAGGTGCTAACCCTGTCCCTCAACCCCACCCCAGTCGTCAGTGTGGTAGATGCTGGTATCAGCCCCTGTTCCCCTGGAGAAAACCGAGGCCCAGAGAGGGAAAGGAAAGGACTCAGGTTCACTCAAATAAAGGAATTGTGGCAGGATTTGAACCCAGGTGGATCTGACTCCAAAGCTCCTATGAATAACCACTACTCATGCTACCTTCTAAAACTGTCACTTTTTCATAACGAAACCCACCCACCTATCTCCAGATCCCAGTGAGTTTAGTGTCACTTAATTACTTTAGTGTTCCTTCTCATCCCAGGAAAAAAATCTTTAGCTGCATATCACAGACATGTGTTATCCATCACAGTAGCCATAGCCACACATGGCTGTTTAAGTTTAAATTCATTGCAGTAAATAAAATAGGCTGGCCGTGGTGGCTCACCCCTGTGCTCCTATCACTCTGGAAGGCCAAGGCAGGAGGATTGCTTGACCTCAAGAGTTCAAAATTGGCTTAAGCAAGACTGAAATCCCATCTCTACTAAAAATAGAAAAAATCAGCCGGGCAGGGTAGTGTGCTTGTAGTCCCAGCTACTTGGGAGGCTGAGGCAGGAGGATCGCTTGAGCCCAGAAGTTTGAGGTTGCAGTGAGCTATGATGGCACCACTGCACTCTAGCCCGGGTGATGGAGGAAGACCATGTCGCCACAAAAAAAGTAAACAAAACAGAATTTAGGTCCTCACTTGCACTAGTCACATTCCAAATGCCCAATACCTAAGTGTGGTTAGTGGCTACTGATTTTACAGATACAGGACATTTCCATCATCATGGAAAGTTCTATTGTCTTAAACCAATGGTGGCCTCTTTGGGCAATAGGACCAATTGAAGGGTTGTCTCAAATACGCTTCTGGATCACACATATTGCTAACTTTTTTAACTGAAGATATCTTTAAGGGTCTTCAGAAGCGTGGGCAGAATCTATAGTCTTCAACTTGAATCATCTACTTTATTTGATGAGAACACTGTTGTCGTTGAGAAAACTAAGAATATTTTAAGAGAAAATCTAAAAAGGAAGGGAATTCTGAGGGGAATTCCCTCAAGGATGATCTGAGAAATAAAAGCAAATGATCCAGTATTTTCTCCAATTTTTACTTAACGTGAATGTCAGGCTAAATACCGGAAGCTAAAACTGTGAAAACGGCAGAAGCTAGAAGTATATGAAACCCTCCACAAAGTAAAATGTCTAGTAGACGAGAATCTATCTGACAAATCATATCTTGTGGATAAATATGGAGGCCTGAAAAAATTGTCCAGACATAAATAGACTTGGAGAAATAATTGACAAAAAGTTAAAACCAACAGCTCAACCTACATGGAGTAAAATTTGTTATTAACTAAAATTTGAGAGAAAAATAAAATATTCTTGAAAAGGTTTAGATGTGCAAAATATAATCTGGGTAACAAATTATATAATCTTGGTAAAAATAAGGGGCACGAATCACATGATGACAGCTCTGGTTAGGAAATATTTGAAAGGGACCAGAAAAACTGCAGGTGAATCAAGTCGTAATTGTACAATTTACCCAGAAAAGAATCGATGCAGATAAAAATAATTTTAGAAGAATAAAAATTAAAATGAAAGCCAGTAGACATCTGTTAAACCATTGGTTTAATGGACATCACTCTGAAAAATACCGCATCAGTGAAAATGAATTTACTTGGATATATTTTTCTTTAAAATAGTTGCAGTTGGCTCAGCGCCTGTGGCTCAAGTGGCTAAGGTGCCAGCCACATACACCTAAGGAGGCGGGTTCAAATCCAGCCCAGGCCCACCAAACAACAATGATGGCTGCAACCAAAAAAAAGAAAAAAATAGCTGGGCATTGTGGCAGGCACCTGTGGTCCTGGCTACTTGGGAGGCTGAGGCAAGAGACTCACTTGAGCCCAGGAGTTGGAGGTTGCTGTGAGCTGTGATGCCATGGCACTCTACCCAGGGAGACAGCTTGAGGCTCTGTCTCAAAAAAAAAAAAAATAGTAGCAATTGTGAACATGAGATCAAACTGCTTTCAGAGCTTTAAATTTTCCTCTAAGAAAGGCTTTAGCTGCATTCCATAATTTTTAGTATACAGTATTTTCACTATTATTCAAATTAAAATATTTTCCAAACCCTGTTTTTATTTCTTCTTTGATCCTTGGGTTATTATGAAGTTATTTCCTAACTTCTATAGATGTGAGGATTTTCTGGTTACCTTTTTGTTGCTGATTTCTAGCTTAATTATACTGTGGTCAGAGAAGACCCTCTGTGTGACTTCATTTGTCTGATATCAATAGAGATTTGTTTTATGCCCTGCCTGTACACTTGAAAAGAGTATGTATTCTGCAGTTACTAGGAAGAGTGTTCTATATATGTCCATTTAATCAAGTTTGCTAATGATGTTCAGAACTTAAATGTGCTTATTGATTTTTTTCTGTCTGTTGGTTTTGCCAGTCATTGAAAGAGGTATGTTGTTTAATGTGGTGTGGATTCACCTATTTCATTTTCTAGCATTTTTAATTTACGTATTTTGAGGCTATGTTAGTAGGTGCGTATAAATTTACAATTGTATTACTTCCTATTGAACCAAATCTTTGACCATCACAAGATATTCCTCTTTCTCCCCCTAAAGTCTACTTTGTTAATAAGAGAACTCCATCAACTACACTAGGTTTCTTCTGAATCTTCATAGTGTACCTTTCTCATAATTTTTTCTGTCAATCTTTCTTTAGGTTTATATCTGTAGTGAAGAGCATGTAGTTCTTATGAAGTCATGTTTGATAGTCTTTGTCTTTTAGTCCATTTACATTTAATGTAATTGCTGATCTATCAGGGCTTCCATTTACCTTTGTGCTCACTGTCAGTTGTATCACCTGCACAATATTTCTTCTTCTCTTCATTCTTGCCTTCTTGTCATTTGGTTTTTACTGTCATATTAGCTTGGAAATTTTTCACTCTTTTACTTTTTTTTTTTTTTTTTAGTAGCAGTAGTAGGGAGACAATTTACCAGAAATGGTCTTGGGAAAAAAAAATACAGCCTGTATTCATGACTTATCAAAATCTAATGTTTTTATTGAGTTTTTCATTCTTCTACGACTCTCTTCGTGGTTATCCTAAAGATTACAGCATGCATTTCCAACGCAGCAAAATCCAGTATTTATTAATAATTATGACCTTCTTGATGATACAATGAGCTTAGGGATTGACACTTTTTAACTTCGTTTACCTCCCTCTGGACTTACATGCCATTACTGTCATTTTCTAAACTTTACTCTCTATTTGAAACTTCCAAAGATAATATTTTTACAGCAGGTGATATCCATATCCACACATTATTATTGTATTTTTTTCTTCCATCTCTGATCATTTTTTTCTCTGACTAAAGAACATCCTTTACTACTTTTCTGCAGTGTGGCTCTGCTGGCCACAGATTCTCTTGGGAGTATGCGTGCACATGGGTGTCCATGTACCTGTATGTCTGAAAATGCCAATATTTAACCTTCATTCTTGTAACATATTTTGACTTTGTATTGAATTCTATGTGGCAATTATTCTCTTTCAGCACATTATGGATAGCATTAAATATGTAATTCCATTTTCTTTCAGCTCCAATTGTTTCTACTTAGGAGTAAACCATAAACCCGACTGTTGTACCAGTGTGTGAGTGATGTTCTTCTCTGGATGTTTTTAAAATTTTTCTTTCCCTTTAATTTACAGCAGTTTAATTGTGTTTTATCTAGGTGTGGGATTATTTATCCCGTCTGGAGTTCGTATGAGCCTCTTGATTCTTCAGCTTGGTATTTTCCATTAGTTTTAGAGCTTGGGCTACATACGACCCTAGACAGCTGGGAGTTACTGAAGATTCTTGAATAGGGGGCTTATGTGATTAAATTTGTGACTAATAATGCAAAAATGATAGCTCCAATTTTCCAGGGACTAAGCAGTATGTCAAACATTTAATCTCTTTTCATTTTTGCAAAAACTCTGTGATCTAGAAACTCCACGATCAACTCCGTGATCTAGATTGCTTATACTCACTCTGCAGATGAGCGAGTAAGGGTTCAGAGTATAATAACTAACCTGAAGCCACCTAGCCAGTAAGTGACAAAGCCAAGACGGGAAGCCAGGTTTGTCTGACTCTAGTTATGGTGGCAGAGCCACAAGCCACATGTGACTATTTAGGTGAAATTCAATAAAACTTGAAGTTCATTTCCTCAGTCACACACAGGTGATTTCCCTGTTAGATGGCAGAGACTGGGACATTTCCTCACTGCAGAAAGTCCTGGTAGATGGTGCTGCTCCTGGGCTCAGTTACTCTCACAGGACTACCAAGGACACAAAGTAGAGGCAAGGAGTCCAGCTGTCACAAGCCAGAGGCTCTCAGTACCTGGCCTGAGGTCACACACAGGGTGGGCACTCAATAAAAATCTGATATGAGCCAAGCACAGCGGCTCACATCTGTAATCCTAACACTCTGGGAGGCTGAGCTGGCTGGATTGCTCTAGCTCAGGAGTTAAGAGACCAGCCTGAGCAAGAGCAAGACCCAGTCTCTAAAAATAGCCAGGCATTGTGGCAGGCACCTGTAGTCCCGTGTACTTGGGAGGCTGAGACAAGAGGATTGCTTGAGGGCTTGGCGCCTGTAGCACAGTGGTTACGGTGCCAGCCACACACACAGAGGCTGGCAGTTTCGAACCCGAGCAGGCCAGCTAAACAACAATGACAACTGCAGCAAAAGATAGCCAGGCGTTGTAGTGGGCGCCTGTAGTCCCAGCTACTTGGCAGGCTGAGGCAAGACAATCGCTTAGGCCCAAGAGTTTGAGGTTGCTGTGAGCTGTGACGCCACAGTACAATACTGTGGGTGACAAAGTGAGACTCTGTCTTAAAAAAAAAAAAAAAAGAAAATTACTTGAGCCCAAGAGTTTCAGGTTGCTGTGAACTATGATGCCACAGCACCCTACCCTGGGCATGAAGTCTCCAAAACTAAAATAAAATAAAATTTAAATAAATAAATAAATCTCTGGTATGGGTGCCAATGGCCTGCTGTGCGACAGTGACACAAGGGATACAATTAACAGGCTTGGGGCTGGGGGACAGGAAGGCCAGTCATTGACACGAGACGAGGAACAAATAGCAGAGCAAAGCCCTGGAACAGGCTCTGCTTTGACAGCTTTGGAAAACGTCAGGGCACTTTTAGACCTGGAAGGACCGGGCAGTGAGGGAAGCAAGGCTCGGGGAGGTTAGTTGGGGGCTCTTCATAAGTTGATTTATGAAGTGTTGGCACCATACTGCTCAGAAGAAAGCTCTGAAGGGCTAATTATTATTAAATCCGTGTGACCCTTCTTGTGAAGTTATTTCGGCACAAAATCGTCTCCCTTAGGAGAGTTTGCTTCATTCCCTGTTGGTGCCTGAGTGTTTGGCTCTGCAGGTGCTCAAAAAATGTTTGTTGTTCAAAAATGTTAAAAAACTGAGCAGCTGCAGGGTCCTCTAATGGCCAGCAGAGGGTAGCATCGAACATGCCCAAGCACGCCTAGAGTTGCCTGTCAGCCAAGCAAGGCCAGTGTGTAAGTAGGCATCCCCCACCCCCACCCACCCCCTACAGAAACATCTTTTTTTGTAGGCTGCAATTCTTTAATAGCCATTGCTTATCAAGACTCCCAGAGCGGTTTCCCTCAGTAAGTGTGCAAAAAATGGCAACAGCAAATAGTTACGATTCAAAACCCAACGGTAACATCTACCAAGTACCCGTGATGGGCCAGTTACCGAGGGTATAAAAGGATGCTGTGTGGGGTAGCTCTCCCCACCTTTTACAGGCTTCACAGCACGTAACACAGAGCCTTTACGGGGTGCTGGCACTGTTCTAAGCATGTTTAATCCCCCTAGAAACTCTTCAAGGGGGATAATAGTGTCATCATCCCATTTGACAGATGAGGACGTTGAGTCACCAGAGCAGTGAAATGACTTTCCCAAGGTCATCTGGCTTGTAAGGGACTGAGTTGGGAGTGGAGTCGGGGTAGGACAAATATTGTAGAGCCCAGGGTGCAGAGCCTGGCCTTTCCCCCAGGGGATGGCACCTCAAGAGCCTGCACATGCCTGTGACCCCTGCCACACGGGCTGCAGCTGTCCCTCCCCCTCTGGGGCACCCCACAGCCATTAGACTGGGATTTCCCGGGAGTGCACTGTGATCACATTAGCGGCAAGCACACGCTTTCATCATCATTTCAGGTTGAAGAGAAGCTTCAGGCGGATTCCAGAAGGAAATTGCTTCAGCTACAAGAAATGGGGAACAGAGAGAGCCTTATTAAAGGCAATTTGGAAAGGGCAGTGGGTCAGGTAGGCATGTTCCAGAGCCCCCTCCACCGACCCACGTCCCCTGGTGATTCTCTGCACCCGAGCAGCAGCGGTGAGGGTGAGACAGGAGGAAGGGGGCCCAAGGGAGAGGACAGCCATAACGTGATTCTCCCATTTATGTCCTGGGCAGGCTCTCCGTGCTTCTTGTCCCTGCAGACTTCACTAAAGTGGCTTCCCCGGCCGGAGGCTCGGTGCCTGCCCCACTTAACCGAGCTCCATCACCCTCATGGTGTTTCTAATATTTTCTCCCTGACATTTTTTGTCCTTAATTTTGCCACAGTCCTTCTTCCTCCCGGGCCCCAGCAGATGTCATAGTCAGCGTCCATAAGGAAGTGCTGCTTTTTTTTTTTAATAAAGTAAAGCCCTGGGGTGTCTAAAAGAGTCTGCTTGATGGAGAAGTCTCTGCCAGGGTGGTGGGCTGCTCTGACCCTGCTGTCTGCCAGCACCACTTCTTGGATGCTCTGGCCCGGGACAGTCCAGTGTCCCTTCCTGTTACACATGGTGCAGTTGTGAGGGCCAGAACTTGTAGACAAGACTCCACCAGAGGCTAAGGGAGAGCAAACAGGAAACCAAGATGGGAGGGCATGACCCTCCTGAATATGGCCCAGCAAGGGCGGCCCACCTTGGGTCTCCTGCACGAGGGCGCCTCTCCGGGCAACCTCGGCTCCCGGGGTTCCACAGAATGCTTTGCATGTCTGTGTGTTTGTAACCTTAATTTCTGGGAGGGAGGACCCACCATGTCACTCATCACAGTCTGTGAACCACACCACCCAGCCCAGCTCCCAAAGCCCTTCCTTGGGCTACCATTAGCCCTTAACGAGGCATTGTGACTGGGGCTCTGTCCCCACACACTGAAATTCCAATGTCCACCCTGTCACCCCCAGTGTCATTTCTCTGTGGGGCGCCAGCCCCTGCAGAGGGCCTGGCAGTATGGGTCTCTCCTTGTGCCCCAGGCTCCCTCCCCATCTTACCCACATTCTGTACCCCTAATACACACCTGCGTTGAGGGCCCGACCTGTGCCCTTTGCCCAAGAGCTGGGCTCATCATGATAGCTCAGGGCAGAGGTCGTCCAGGAGACTCCTCCAGATCTTGACACAGAGGAACAGGACAAGCCCTCTCTCTGCCACCCAGGGCCTTCCAACTACTGTATCTCCAGGGCTGACACCCCGGCAGACACTCTGCCCTTCCCTGATGAGTGACGCCAAGGCCAAGGCTATGGTCCAAGAGGACCTGTCCCTTTACCCTGAGCAGTCATGCTGATAGAGAGCCTTTGGTGGCAGTGGGACCATCACTCACAGGGCTCCCTCTGCCCAGCCAGTTCCACAGGTGAGCAGGGACTCCCCCATGGCTATGAAACCAGACAGTAGCTTGGAAGGCCTGGCATCACCTGGTCTGCTCCCCAAAGTGCAGTAAACTCCTGTGTCTTGGGCCCCCTTGACTCCCACATTGACTCAGTGGCCCTTTAGGTCCCTTCAGGGCTCTGCTTCCAGAGCCTTCAAGGACCACAATTGCTGGTGGCCAAAAGGCCCAGCCAAGGGCCGACATATTAGTAAAGTCCTAGAGAAAGTCAAGTTCCTTTGCCTCTAACTCCTGATGGAATACAGGGCACCTGGGATTTGTAATTCTGTAAGTCCGACTTAGTGTAACTGTGCTGTTTCTCCAGCCTTAATCTGAAAACACCAGCGCCCAGGAGGTGCTCCATGAAAGCTGCCTGGGCTGAAGCAGAGCACACTGACTCTTCCTGGTGCCTCTGTGTTCAGCGCTCAGTGAGTGTTTGCTGAGAGCTTCTCTGTGCCAGGCACCGTCCTGGGCTCTAGGAAGACCGAGACGATGAAGTGGACACGGCCTTCAGGACACTGATGGGCTGGGACACGGTGGGAAGGCGAGAGCCTTCTTCTCTCCCCAGGCTCCCTTGCTGACTACACAATTTACTTGGGCTGACAGCCTCAATATTTATCTCACAGCCTGGTGCCAACTTAGCAATTATGGAAGAACGCTCTCGGCCCCAGACTCCCCATTGGATAATTGGCAGCGAGTGACTCTTCTGAGGGTTTGAGACATGTGTGTGCGCTGACCACAGGCAGCCGTTGGGTTAGGCAGGCAGGCCTACAAAGTAATTAAAGCCTGCTGTTCCTTTTTCTTCTGTCTTTTTTTTTTTTTCACTGTCACCTCCAGTGAGTGGTGAAGATTCTTGACAACACAGATCAATCCTTCAGGCGTGCGAACCCTTCCAAGTGGTTTCTCCTGCACCCCGAGAGGGACGCACTGCCCCCCACCTGCCAGCTCCCACTGCCCCCGCTGACCCTGTCGCCCTCCCTTTGTACTGCAGCTGGAACATTTCAGAAGTCAAGTCATCAAGGCCGCCTTCGGACGGGTAAAGCCGCTCCAGGACAAGCCCATCACCGACCAGCAGGTGGGTCTGTCTTTCACGCAACCACGGGCATCTTTCACGTTCTTCTCTGGGGATCTGGATTCCAGACCCTGGGAGCATATGTTTCTGTTTTTGTTGGTGGTGCATATTTTTCACACTGTTGCTACACCATAAAGATTTGTTTTGATTTTATGGGATTTCCTGGCTTTTAAAGTAAAAGCCAGTTAAACTCCCTTGAAATGATTCTGCAAAAATCAAATTAAACCATGTGGGCTCACTTCTGTGCCTCCGTTAGCACTGGGAGAGTAGCGGCCATGTCTTCACAGTCTGTGGGTTCTGGTGTGCTCCTTCCAAAGAGGACAGAGGACGGTGGCACTGAGGGCAGACTTCTGGTTGTGATAATTGGCTTGTTATTCTCCTCATCCCTCTCGCCAACTGTGCTCTGTGTCAAAGCACAGGTAAGAAAACACTCCTGGGCTGCTCTCATCAGAGGCAGGAGAGGCTGACCTGTTTGTGAGCTTGTAGCATCCAGCTCGGTGCTCTGAATCGCTGCCACAGTGCAGAGAGTCCAGAACAAACTTACAGCAACAATATGGGCCTTTGGTTCTTAAAAATAATCTCTGATCCTGGGACGTGTCCTAGTGATAGGACCCAATGTTCCCCTTCAAAGCACATCAGGACCTCCCTCCTCCCCTGCTGAGACCGGCACTCAAGTTACCCCTCTCTGGTTCCCCTTCTTGCAGAGTCACCCTGTGATTGTATCTTTTATGTTTTTCATCTTTCTCTTTTTTCACCAGCTAATAGAGAAAATTGCCCAGGTCGCTGAGGACAACATGCACTTTCAGCAGAAAAAGTGGGCCCTGCAGAAGGAGACCCCGCTCTGCGGCTGCAAACGGGAGCAGACCACCGAGGACATTAAGAAGCTGAAGACTTCTCTAGACAGCTGCCAGGTGGCCACTACTCACGCCTTCCACAAAGGGTCCCTTTGTCCCATCTTTGTGCCTCTTAATTTGGGAAATTGTCCAGTTTTCTTGGAGCAAGTTGGGCAGAAATATTCGGCTTTTCTATCTACTTTTTCTCTTGTTGGAGAAGAGAAAACAAAGGACCCCACAAAAAGCCTCCCACCGTGGTGCCTGAGTACCTTCAAGTACTGACTTGGGGTGGCCCCCAGCTCGGCAAATAATAAGCATAATAATCTCCTATGCTATTTCCAGAGAAACCAAAGAAATATTCCTGCTCTTTGCCTGCATTTTCTCTTTTGGCCCAGCAACAGAAGCCTGTTCCTACCCCTCTTGCCTCTGGCAGTGAGGAGCAGGGACCAGAGGGAGGGTCCCACCATGCCTGCAACTAGAGCACAGCTGATCAGAGGCGGCAGCTGCTTCCATTGTGTCTGGAAATCAGCAGCTTCTATTTGGAGAGTTTGTGCAAATGCTGGCACCCTTTCCAATCAAGAAAGCACACTTTAGCCAGGTGCAGTGGCTCATGCCTGTTCTCCTAGCACTCTGGGAGGCCGAGGCGGGCAGATTGCTTGAACTCTTGAGCTCCAGACCAGCCTGAGCAAGAGCAAGACCACATCTCTACCAAAAATGAAAAAATTGAGGCAAGAGGATCGCTTGAGCCCAAGAGTTTGAGGTTGCTGTGAGCTATGACGTCACGGCACTCTACCCAGGGTAACAGAGTGAAACACTGTCACAAAAAAAAAAAAAAGAAAGAAACCATGCTTTCTGGCCAGCCTGTGTGTCGATCTTGGCAGGAATTTTGATAACTAGAAGTAGCCACCTTTGGCTCTGCTTTTGGCCAAATTGTAAATGGTAGTTTAGCTTGAGATTGCATATCCCTAAAAGTGGGTTCACTTTGATCATCCAAAGTGTAAAATAAAAAAAACAAAAAAAAACGTAAAATCTGCCCCTCCCCTAAAGAAACCCAGGCCATACCAGGGCAGCCAACACGAGATGCTGCCTGCTTTGAGGCAAACCGGAGATGGCTGTCCCTTGCCGATGGCGTCAGGTGCATCTCTGCGCACGGGGGGCCGGGCTTCTCACCACCTGCCCTCTTTCCAGGCTTGCATGAAGATGTCCTGCTGCAGCAGCAACCTCAAGAAGGAGGTCGACCTGCTCCAGCACCTGCAGGTGAGCCCACCTGTCTCCGAGCTCCAGAAGGTGGCGCTGGACATCCTGGGCCTCTCTCTGTCCTGGCTGGTGGAAACGGAGCAGCTCCTCCGGGACCTGGGGATCCAGTTATCCGGCTCCGACAAAGGTTACTGGGGCTTTTTATTTCTCACCTCGTCGCATGATTCTAAAATGTCGAGTTGGCTCCCACTGCCAGGGGACATCTGTCGAGGAAGGGTTTGTGGGGAGGAGGCCAAGTGGGGGAGCCGACTTGGCCTTCCAAGACTAACTGTGCTTCTCCACATGAGAAGTGATTTTCCATTAAAAAAAAATATGTATATATGTGCACACACACAATTGAGACACGATCCCTGAAGACAAAATGAAACGTGATCGAGGCAAAAGGGAAAGTGAATCCAAAATTATGCTAAGTCCTATCTCTCAGCAGTACCGCTGTTATACTTTGTAACTTCCGAGGCACTTACTTGCCCATGGAATTAACTCTGTGATTCTAAACAAAGGACCTATCCGCCCTATGCCCCAGTGTCCTCACCTGTGAAATGAGGATAATGAGCATCTACCTGTTAGGGTCATAGGATTAAAACTCATTGATCTGTGTACCGCACTTAGAGTAGCGCCCGGCACACAATAGGCCTTACTGAACATTGCTTGGCTTTTTAATTTTACAAAAAGGAGTGTCATGGGACACCCGGTTTTTCGTGAGTTCTGTTTCCAATAGGACACCATCTGGAAACCTCTTGCACATCAGGACACACAGATCAGCGCCGTCGCTGTTAAGGATGGCGTTTTCTAAATTGCATCATGCAGGATGTACCATCATTTACTTCTCCGGCCCCTTATTACAGGGGTTTAAGCTGTTCCCAGTTTACCACCCTCACAAATCACGCTGAGATGCACATTACTCACTCTTCTTATCTTTATTTTCACAGAGATGGAAGGGCAGTAAGCCCTTTCATACAACAAAGATTTATTGCATGCTTGCCAGCCGCCACTGAGTGGGGCAGAGATGTCAGAGGCCAGGACCAGGGGGGATCTGGGTTGTGGGTGTGTACGGGCATCCACTGTAGAACTCTTCCAACTTTACCATCCACTTACAGTTTTTAATAATAAAACACTGGGGGAAAAACTAGCACTATGTCTGCCCTCCTAGAACTTATGGTCTCTGGCCGAGGGATGGAACTATCACTCAAACAAGTGTGAAACTGGAATAGTGATAAATGCTATGAAGATGTGCAGAGCTCGACCAGGTCAGGGAGGAAGGGGCATCTGCAGGATACATAGGAGTTGTCTGCCATAGACTAGAGGGGAAAGAACTCTGGACGGAGGGTGGGGGAAGCATGGAGAACATGGATTAAAAGAAGCAGCCTCAGCACAGGGTGGGGCAGGCTGGTGAGGGAGGTCCCAGGGGCCATGCATAGGGGGGCTTGCAGGACCCTGGTAAGAAGCTCTGCTTTATTCTTAGAGTAGCAGGAAGCCAATGGAAGGTTTTAAGTAGGAAGCTGATGGAACAAGTTTGTATTTGGAGACAATCATCAAAGTGGCAGGTGTCAAATGCCTTGGAAGGTGGAAGCCCAGGAGCCCTGCTGAGAGGCTGTGTGGCCACAGTGGGGCAGGGGTGGGGAAGAGGAAAGAGAAGATTCTAGGGCATGTAAGGGACGAATCCACAGGCCTCACTCAGTGTTTGAAAAGGAGATGGTTGGAAGAGAAATGACCAGGGTTGGGGGTGGGGGGTCTGCACAAGCTCTAAGTTTTCTGGCGTGTGTAGAACAGACGTGGTTCCTTTACTAAAACTCAGAATAGGGGTGAGGCTCAGGTTTGAGAGGGAAGATGAGAGTGAAGTGCCCAAGATGTGATGCCCAAGAGGCAGCTGTTCCCCAAGCATCTCGTGTGGAGACAGATGAGAATGCTGTGTCCCCAGCCCCTGGACAGCGTGTGCCACACGGTGGGAGCTCACTGGAGATCTCGGGGAGGGAGGGACTGGGGGAGGGAGGGAGGGGAGCGTGGTATCACTTAGGAAGATTTCAGTTCTTGGGTCTTGAAGAACAGCTAGAACTCTGATCCACGTGTTGCCTGATTTCAGGCAAGCTCTAAACTCGCATGAAAGTATTTTGTGGGAGGCAGAGAGCACAAGACCACACCTTAAGGAACATCAGCATTTTAAAACTTGTTGGGACTCCTTGCCAAATCGCCTGGTAGAGAGGCTTTGTGAATTTGACCTTGCAGCAATGAGTATAGAGGGGTGGCCTTCTGCTCTGGTGCCTCAGCATCCCCAGAAGGACATCCCCAAAGTATTTAGGAGGTGATATCAAGCTCTTTAAAAAAAAAAAAAAAGGCAAAAGCAAGATGAATAGTCACATAGGAAGCTTCCGCTCTTCATATCACAGAGTGTTAAAGTTCTTGTAATCACGGCAGAGTCCTAAGCTTACATGAAATTAGGTAAAACACAGATCAGAGTTCTAGGCTGGGAATAAAACAGACCATGGTCTCTCTCCTGGTTACAGTAAGACCAGGCTGTGTGTGCACTGTCTCCTTGCCACTCCCAAGGCCATTTTCATCATTATAGCCTTTGCCTGTGCATCTAGTCACATGTTAAGATAAAGAAAGGTAGGTTGTAAAGTTAACCCATCAGGCCAGCAATTGCAAAAGAGGAATGCTGTTTTTAGGCAGCACTTTTTTCTCCTGATTTCACAGAGTCATGAGATTTGAGCAACATCAAACAGGTCTCTGGGCCAGGGGTGGTGGGTCACACCTGTAATCCCAGCACTTTGGGAGGCCGAGGCAGGAGGATCACTTGAGGCCAGGAGGTCAAGGCTAGAGTAAGCTGTGAACACTCCTCTGCATGCCAGCCTGGGAGGCACAGTTAGGCTCTGTCTCAAATATATGTTTTTATGATGATCCCACCAGGATAAGGTGATTGGTTCAGGGTACTTGATATTACTGAGGCCGGCAAGGGGCCCCCAGTCTACCCGTCACCTTCCACACACACTCCCAGGAGCCTCCTATGTTCACAGACCTAAGAGAAGGGTGAGCAGCTCCGTCTGTTTAGCTTTTCTTGGGCACTTGCCACTATCTTAGGCATCTCACTGTGTTTTCATCCTCCCACCCGCCCAAGGAGGGAGATGCTATTTCTTGTCTTTATTCTGAAGGGAAGGAAACTGAGGCTAAAAAATGTTAAAAAGCACGGCCAGGGGGACACTGCTGGTACATGGTAGCATCAGGACTCAGACTGAGGTCTTTGTGACCCACCACTCGTGCTTTTCCCGGGACCCACACTGCCTCTGAAGACCTACCAAGGTACCCGGTACATGTCCCAGAGGCCAGGGTCTGTCATTAACTCGGACAGGGACGGAGCTAAGAGTGTGAATTCCCACAGTAAACTGCATCTAATCACACCCTGAGCTGTGGCCCAGCAAGGCCCATTTGTCGTGTAGTGGGATGGGTTCAAGTTTGGACTTTGGGGACCAACTGCCAAGGGTGGATTTCAGCTGTGCGTTTACTAGTTGTGTGGGCACATTAATGGATATCCTCATGGCTCCAGAGTCTCTCAGGTCATCGTGAGGGCTGAATGACATGATACTCACACAAATGGCAGTGGCCTGGATCACAGCGAGCTCTTCATAAACAGGAGCTGCTACGTCACCGGTCTCAAGTACTTGATTTAATTGGCCTAAATGTGGGTGGCAGCCAGCTAGCTATGTGCGTGGGCAGTGCGGCTCGATCACGCCCAGGTGACTCCATCTGGAATGCCTGTGCCAGTTCCACTTGGCAGCACATGGGATTGACTTAGCCACAAGCACTCCATTGGGTGGAAGCCAAAAGAGCCCTTTCCACACCTCCTTCTCAGAGTCAGAATAATGGGCCTGGTGTCCCAGCTGCCAAGTGGCCCCACTAGGACTCAGTCCAAGCCCCTTTGACCCCAGAGCCCCTACCCCTGGCTGCCATGCTATACCTGCCTTTAAGAACATCCTCCTGGGAAGGAAAACCCAGAACAAGCTGGGCTGGTAAGTCCCGAAATAAATCCCCCAGGGAGATCAAGGTGGTTGGGTGACATCATGAGCAGCCCAGGAGGTGAGGCCTTGAAGGGCGTGTGCTGTGCAGTCCAGCTGGGAAGATAGGGAAAGCCTGATGGAAACCTTGAATGCCAACAGCTCACGGCTCCTACCTGTTTTCTCAGGCTTCCCTTTGATAAGGGAAAGAAAGGATTTTTTACATTTTTCTCTGCAAGCCCAGTTACTTTGTGTCTACTTCTGTAGTTACAAATAAAAGGCTTTCCAGCACGCGTGGTAAAGCAATCTTTCTCAAATATCCAAGATAAATGATATCTTCAAATAAAAAGAAATCAAGGACAACACACTTCGGGTAGTATGCTCCCTTTGTTGGGTTTTTTTTTTTTTGAGACAATAAATTGAATAGAATTATAACACTTTCTTTGTTTTCTTCTTCTTCTTAAGAGACAAGGTTTCACTCTGTCACCCAGGCTGGACTGCAGTGGAGTGATCACAGTTCATAGCAGCCTCAACTCCTGGGCTCAAGTGATCCTCCTGCTGTAGCCTCCCAACTAGCTGGGACTATCTGTGTGAGCCACCACACCTGGCCTGGGTTTTTTTGTTTGTTTGTTTGTTTTTAATGTCAATATCTGAGCAAGAGAAAAATCTGGAGACAGAGACATCAAACTGTTAGGAGTACTATTTGGCTTGGTGCTTGTGGCTCAAGTGGCTAAGGCGCCAGCCACATACACCTAAGGTGGCGGGTTCGAATTCAGCCCGGACCCGCCAAACAACAACGGCTGCAACCAAAAACTAGCCGGGCATTGTGGCAGGCACCTGTGGTCCCAGCTACTTGGGAGGCTGAGGCAGGAGACTCGCTTGAGCCCAGGAGTTGGAGGTTGCTGTAAGCTGTGAAGCCACGGCACTTTACCCAGGGGGATAGCTTGAGGCTCTGTCTCAAAAAGGAAAAAAAAGAGTATTATCCCATCACAGTCCGATTGTGTGGGACATTTACTTTCATTCAGTCATTCAACAACCATTTATTGAGGGCCTACTGTGTGCCAGCCACTGTATAGGGCACTGAAGATGCATCAGTGAACACTTCTCATGTTATGAATTTCTTTAATGTTTGCGTTTTTGG